TATATTTAAATTATATATTTAAAATAAAAATTATTATACTGTTTTTAATAATTTTAGTTTATTTTATTTTTTTAAATTAATTAAATTATAAATATTAGAAATGAAAGAATAGCCAAATATAATATAAAATAATTTATTTGTATTTGGAACGAAAGGAAAGGGAAAAAAGGAATTTCACATTTTTATTAATTTTAATTTTTACTTATTTAACTAACTATCTCATACGAAAAAATATTTAAAATCTTTTATAGGTAAGGAAGAGAAAAAAAGTGAAATTTTATAATTATTATTTAACTTTATTGTATATCTTTTATGAGAGGAAGAAAGAAAGAAAGAGAGGAGAGGAGAAGAGAAGAAAATGAAATTATTATGAAAGTAAAAAAGTTTAATGATTAGTTTGATTGATGTCATTGATAATTGTCACTTCGAGATTAGATGTCATCTTCTTCTCGATACAGTGAATGAGAGAGAAATGATGATGATGATGATTGTAGTTTGATGAGAGGAGATTAATGAAGAAGTTTGTTGTAGTAGTTTTATGAAAGATATATATATATATGTATGATGACATCGCGTGTTCTCATTATAATATATCATTATCAATATCAAAATATCAATCCTAATTAATTATTCCATTTTTGATTTCAAATTTGAAGAAAAAGAAGAAGATAATATAAATAAATAAAGAAATTCTTTTCATTTATTTATATCTTCTTTATCGTTTTTTTATAATAGTATAATAATATAAATAATAGTATAATGGTGATAATAATATAATAGTTATAATAGTATAAAAGTAGAATAGAGAAAATGTTGGAAAAGAAGGGGAGATATATATATATGAAAGTTTCATTTAATTATCGAAAATTGAACTGATAAAGGTAAGATAGAATTGCTTTTAAATAGCAGTAGTAATAGCAGTAGTAGTAAGAGCTGTTGTTGTTGTTATTGTTGTTGTTATTGTTGTTGTTGTTGTTGTTGTTGTTGTCATATAGAATATGATCGATTTTTTTCATTCTTATTCTATCGGAAATAATAGTTTTATTGAATGAAAATTAATGTTTCTTTTCGTATCGTTAAAAGATGGAAATAAACAAATAAATAATTGAAAATAATGAAATTTACTAAATCAATTATTATATTTATTAATAATTTTAATTTATAAGAATGCTTTTTCTTTTATATTTGAAATTTTCAAAAAGAAAAGAAAAAGAAAAAAGTATGAAATAGTATAATCAACAACAACAACGAAAGAAAAAAACATCATTTTTCAAACATTTTAATATTAACTACCTGAAAATGCAATTATATAAAGGTAATTTAATTGTTTGGTTGTTGGTTGCTTGGTTGCTTGGTTGGTTGCTTGGTTGGTTGATTGGTTGATTGGTTGGTTGAAGGACGGAAATAAGCAATTAAATAAACTAGCATTTGATTGTTCGGATGAAGGAAAAAAGAAGAAGAAGGAATTTTCAGTTAGAAGAAAGCATATTATATAATAAAATTAAGGGACTTATAAATGTATCTTCTATAAATTTTAAATATTACAATAATGTTAATTAAAATTTCTAAAATTAAGAATTAAACAAATGACAAAAAAAGAAGAAAGAGCGATACGATATTGTGAAAAGTTTGTTTCTTTTCATATTTAACAATCTTTGCTATTATTAAATTACCATATATTATTATTATTGTAAACTTTTTCAAAAATGTAAAATCAATAATATATTTGAAAGTATTAATTTAAAGGCTTTTAACATATTATTAAACTAATAATAATATAATTATACAAAGTTTATAAGATTTATCGATTAAATTTTTTGGTTATTTTGTTATGATCTTGTTGTTGTTGTTGATGTTGTTATTATTATTGTTGTTGTTATTGTTATTGTTGTTATTGGTGTTGCTGTTGTTGTTATTGTTGTTGTTGTTGTTGCTGTTGTTGTTGTTGTTGTTGCTGTTGTTGTTGTTGCTGTTGCTGTTGTTGTTGTTGCTGTGCTGTTGTTGTTGTTGTTGTTGCTGCTGTTGCTGTTGTTGTTGTTGTTATTTTGTTATTTTTATTGTTGTTATTGGTGTTGCTGTTGTTGTTATTATTATTATTGTTATTGGTGTTGTTGTTGTTGTTATTGTCATTGTTGTTATTGTTGTTGTTGTTCTTTCCTTTATTATTAAAAATTAAATTTGTTATTATATAGGGAAAGTAACGAAAGAAAAAAATGTGAATTAAAACAAATGGATGAAAATTTGTAAAGTGTAAAATAAAACTTATCCAATTTAAAACCAACCAAATTTGTCTGTTATTTATTGAAGAAGTAAGTAATGATGGTTGAGAGAGAGAGAGAGAGAGAGAGAGAGGTGAAGAAAGATGAAAAAGAATGAAATTGAATGAATGAGTGGTTGTCTTCTTCTCAAGTATAAATTTTTCCATTGTATTATTAATACTAAGTATGCCATGTCCATCCTACTTTTATTTCTTGCTAATTATTCCTCTTTAACAATCATTACTCATACTCATCATTATCATCATCGTTATCATTATCATCATCAGATAATTCTTCCACAATGAAAATACGCACATACATATAAATAAACAGCAAGAGGCTTAATTAAAGTGATAAAATAATATAATATATTTAGTATATGTTTTTAATATATTTCAATTTCAATTATAATTCATTCTTTGTTTTTAATAAATAATTTATTTAATGATTAAAGGAATAAGCCGTCGATAAAAGCGTAGGAAATGAATAAAATTTCTTACTGACAGCTATGAATGAAATTGAAGAAAATGAAACGTATTATAATTATTGACATGAAATATTCTCATACTAACAGTAAAATTATTATAATTTAATTGAATTTTTAATTAAGTAATATAATGAAAAGGAGAGAGAGAGAGAGAGAGAGAGAGAGGGAAAGAGGAAGAGAGAGAGAGAATTATTTTATTTGTTAATCTTTGAACCTTCCAATTGACAGATATAATAATTATTACATCAAATTATTGAATTTATCAATTAGGTAAAAAAACATTAAGCAAAGTAAAATTTATTTATTAAATTAATAAAATGAAAGTTTAATAAATTATTGAATGAGAAATTTTCATTTACAACAAAAATGAAAATGTATGCAAAAAAATCTGTCATTATTATCGTTGAATGATAGCAGAAAGCATAAATTTTCATTTTTCTTTTTCTTTCCTTTTCTCTCTCTCTCCCTCTCTTTCTTTCTCCCTCTCTCTCTCTCTCTTTTTTTAGGCATAAAATTTACAAATTTAGGCTTAGCTGATCACCATAGAGATTAGATTTCTTTTTTTTTACATACTTAAAGCATTTACATTATAAAAATGGAACAATCATTAGGGGAAAGCCTTAGTTAGTTATGTTGCAGAGAGAGTCGACCCTTTTTCATTTATCCGATAGAATAAATGAAAGGGAAAAGGTTGGCAGGAAAGAAAAGAAAGAATTAAAGGAGGAAAAATTTTTCAATTGATTAATTAATATACATATATATATATATATATATATATATTTTTCTCAGAACATACCTTATGATTAATAATTGCTACGCAAACTTTATATACAAAATTAAAAAGATAAGCGATATATGTGAAGATTTGAGGGTTATCAAATTATTCTATGCTGATATGATAGATATATGGTAGATATGATATGATAGATATATGATGGTAATTATGTACTCATTCCTTTTTAAGTTTTTTATCTCAACTTATTATTATGCCATAATAAATTATTTTATAGTTTAAATGTATTTTATTTATATAAAATAAGCTTATTCCTACCTTAGCAATATTTATAACTTCGAAAATTTCCAGATAATTTTATCGGAAGATTTTATTAGTAGTAAAAATAATACAATAACAATAATACGATAAAAACAACAACAACAGTAATAGTAATAATAATGATAATAATAACGATAATAATAATGGCAACAATAGTAATAACAGTAATAATAATTAGTGTTAAGATGATTGAATTAAAATAAATGAGGATTATAAGCCTAACAATTACGAACGCTATGACTGTTTATTATCAATTTTTCCTTCAGAAAATTATTTATAAATAATATGAATTATGATAATGACGATGAATCATCCTTAGCAAATATTGCTACACCAGATGTAACCCTTTTAACCCTTTTAAGTAATCGTTTCGTTGGAATATATGTTATCCTGAATGTTAACTATTACTTAAGTATAGTGGATTTCCTGATTCTATCCATTCCGGATAAATTTATTGATGCTTTTAATGTGTATATGTTGTTTCGATTTGTTACTGATTGTAAATGAAGATAAGCCGAATATATCAATACTAAACATTATATAGCTTCATCTATAGTTGTTGTTCTTATTGATTTAAAATGATATCAAAAATTATAAAATATGGCGAAATATTTTTCTGTACATAAATTAGGATTACGGTAAATAAACAAATAAATAAATAAAATATACAAGTGGACAATCAATGTTGAAGCATATGTTGAAGTGTATGCTAAGGTTAATTGATGAAGATTTTGGTAAATAGGGGATGAGATGCTTTTCGATATTTGGCATTATTCTTCCAAACGATTATTAGCTATTTGAATTATTAAAAATTCAAATTAAACTGGGACCATCATAGTTTTATTAGCAATTTTTGTTTCCTCTTACTCTTATCATTAAATGTTTATTTTGATTATGAATTAAGTAAATTATTTCCAATTAATAAATTATACAATATTTTTATTGTATTTAATTTAAAGTAATCAAATTCTTAAATAAATTCGATTATTCAATTCAAATTAGTAAATTATTTTCTATTGATTTACTTTGAAAATGATATTTATAAAAAATATCTTTACTAATCTTTTCTTCCTTTTTAGTAATTCTTTAAAATGTATTTTTATAATTTATATTAATTATGAAATGATCGTCGGTTAAATAATAAATAAATAAATTATTGACCTAAAATGGAGATTTGTTGGAAGTTTTTGATTTAATTTAATTTAAAGATAATCAATTCTTATACGACAAAGAAAAAAAATATGATAATACTTTTTCGACAATTTGGTAATTGAATTTGTTATTGCGATTTCGTCGTAATCAAATGAAAGTTATCGGATAAGGAAGGGAAAATGGGATTAAATAAATCTTACTAGACAAAAGTATAAGTAAATTTAAAGGAGAGAAAAGGGATAAATTTAATAGAAAATGAAAATGATTGAGAGAGAGAGAGAGAGAGAGAGAGGAGGGAAAAGAGAAAAAATATTGAAGTAAGTAAATCAAATGAGTTATCAAATTTCTCTCTTTTTATCATTCGTTATCATAATTTTCCTAAATTGAAATTGTTTTTAATGATTTTAATCATTCACTTTATATAAATAATAATAATAATAATAGTAATAATAAAGTAATAATAATAATGGTAATAGTTATAATAATATTAATGATAGTAATAATAATTGATAATTATAATGATAATAGTAATGGTAAATAAATAATAATAATAGTAATAATTAACCAATAATAATAATGATAAAAATGATGAAAACAATGATGATAATAATAATGTTATTATTACTATTATTATTTTTGATAATAATTTATGCACATATATAATTATTATTAATTTATTGGTTGATTTTTCTTCCATCCTAAATGTTGTAAAAGTAAATAATAGCTAAATGAAACATAAGAAAAGACGTATAATGATAATTTAGCATAATTAAAAATATGTAATAATATAACTTCCTGCTACGATCGTTGAAAATAAAGAAGTGTAGAAGAATGAATTTAACATTATATTAATTATAGTTATTTCATAATAAAATTAAATTAAAATAATCTTTTCATTCTTATTATAACATTTTAGTGAGCGATAATTTTTGATTAAAATTTATTTGAAATTTTATATTCTAAAATTTGAATATAAATGAGAATGAGTAATTAAATCATCCATCCATCCATGTATGATACATCTATAATATATTATATGGAATAAATTAATTGTCCCATATCGAAATATATGTATATATTTGATTATAATTGATTATATATTACTATTATTAATGTTTATTCAGTTAAAAGTGGAAAGTGAAGGAGGGAAAATGATTGTATTAAATTTGAGAATATGAAAGATTGGAAGGATACTTTAGAATTGCTTATAAATTTGATTGATATTATTTCTATTAGAAAGTTATTCTTACCATTTTCCCATTTATCTTTTATTATTTGTGATACTATTTGATCTTGAAATTTTATTAAGTTTAAGTTCTTTAGTAAAGAATTTATTTCTAAGTAATAAGTGTTATTAGAAGATAACTTTATTACTTTTAAACGGATAAGATAAATCCGACAAAACCTTAAATATCATTCATTTAATTGTTTTATGAGTGAAAAGATTAAAATTGAAGAAGAAGGATTTCAAGTATGAATGAAAATTAAATTTGAGTGATAAAGAATGATAAATTCAAGAGAGGTTTAATTTTAATGAATGAAATTTTATTATTGGCAAATTTTAAATCAATGAAAATTGTTAATTTTTTTGTTTCTAAATTATTTAGAATGTATACCTTAATAATATACCTTAGATAGGTAAGATATATTGCTGTAAAATAACTGTAAATTTTGATCACTTCTGAGAATTTAAAATTTTGAATGAATTTAGAAGTTATTATAAAATTAATTAATTATACTGATAAAGCTATTTGATGCATTTGCATTTTAAACAAAATTATAAAATTTTTTTTTAGCTAAAGTCAAAGTTCATGAAGAATTTAATTTGCCAATGTTTGAAACTTTGTATGCAATCATCTCACATCCATCATAGTGTTAGTCAGTAGTATAATAAGATGGGGTCAATAGTTCACTTAGTGTATTTAATCTAAATCTATATCATCATTATAGTTAGTAGTACGATAGATATAGCTAATAGAATAAAATTTTATTAAATATTGGAATGGAATAATTGAAATGATTCCTTGTTCAGAAGAGAAGGAAGAAGAGAAAGGAATGTTTGGTGGAAATAAAATGTAACAACAGCTGTTTAAAATGTTAAATGATGTAGTATGGATAGTTTTAGGAGTTAAAAGGAGTAGAATGAATTTAAGGGAAAGGAGAAAGAGAAAGAGAAAGAGAAAGAGAAAGAGAAAGAGAAAGAGAAAGAGAAAGGGAAAGGAGAAAGAGAAAGAGAAAGAGGAAGAGCGCAAAAGGAAAGAAGTTTTTATTTTCCTTTCTGCTTCAGTTTATTGTCCATAAATCGACTATTGGATAAGATATTTTCTTAATTACAGGAAGGAATAGAATGAAATAAAAATATTGTGATTTAGGTTGAATAAATAGAGAAAGAGCGCAGTTGTATCATTAGGATAGAGAGAGAGGGAGAGCGCAATTGTATTGTCAGGATAAAGAGAGAGCGCAATTGTATTGTCAGGATAAAGAGAGAGCGCAATTGTATCGTCAGGATAAAGAGAGAGCGCAATTGTATCGTCATGATAAAGAGAGAGCGCAATTGTATCGTCATGATAAAGAGAGAGCGCAATTGTATCGTCAGGATAAAGAGAGAGCGCAATTGTATCGTCAGGA